AGAGGGCGATAAAACGGGGAGCGCAAGGCTACGCCGTACAGCTGTACGAGGTGGTGGCTTCCGAAAAAATCGCCGACATCGACACGCTCTGCGCTGCTGTACCCGACGACGTGGCGAGCATAATTCGGAGGTACCCCGAAATATTCGCGGATGACCTACCTGATGGGCTGCCACCTCAGCGTCCGGAAGACCACAGGATTGAGCTGGAACCAGGCGCGAAACCAACCGTTCGGTCCCAATGGCGGCTCAGCCAACCGGAGCTCGACGAATTGCAGAAACAGCTGGATTATCTGCTTTCTAAGGGTTTTATCCGGCCGAGCACGTCGCCGTACGCCGCCCCGATACTATTTACACCGAAGAAGGACGGAGGCCTGCGCATGTGCATCGACTATCGAGCATTGAATCGGGTCACAATCAAGTCGCGTTACCCGATCCCACGAACAGACGACCTGCTGGATCAACTTCGCGGGGCTCGTTTCTTCTCGAAAATTGATTTGCGAGGTGGCTACCATCAAATTCGTGTGTTCGCCGACGACTGCCCGAAGACCGCATTCCGCACCCGCTACGGCAGTTATGAGTACACCGTGATGCCGTTCGGGCTGACGAACGCACCCTCGACTTTCCAGCTCACTGTGAATGGAGTGTTTCGGGACATGTTGGATAAAAAAGTTATTGTTTACCTGGATGACATCCTGGTGTACAGCAAGACTCGGGAGCAGCATTTACAGGACTTAGACGAAGTGTTCCGACGCTTGCAGCAGAACCGGGTGATTACGAAGGGCTCTAAGTGCGAGTTCTTACGGTCGGAGCTGGAGTTTCTGGGGCACGTTGTCTCTGGGGAAGGCATTAAAATCGACCCTCGAAAAGTAAAAGCGATTTCGGAGTGGAAGCCGCCCACGAACATCACTGAGTTGCAGAGTTTCCTCGGCTTCGTTAAATACGTCCGCCGTTTTGTACCCAATATGGCGGGAGTAACCAGGCCGTTAACCGATCTCCTGCATAAGGGCGTGCAGTTTTTTTGGGGGGAGAGAGAACAGCTGGCTTTCAACGAGCTGAAGAAAATTTTGAGTTCACCCCCGGTGCTTCGACTGGCAGATCCATCTCGACCGTTCGAAGTCGTGACGGACGCCAGCGATTTCGCTGTCGGCGCTGTGCTATTACAGGACTTCGGCAACGGACTGCAACCCATCGCGTACGAATCAAGAAAAATGCAGCCGCCCGAGCGCAACTACCCGGTTCACGACAAGGAAATGCTCGCCATCGTGCACGCGTTTCGAACATGGCGATGCTACCTCACGCGAGCGGATGTCACAATCCGAACTGACCACAAGTCACTACAGTACATGCGCAGCCAACCACAGCTCAACCCACGACAAATCCGGTGGCTCGACTACCTCGAATCAAATTTCCGCTACACCATCACACATAAAAAGGGCGCCAACAACATCGCCGACGCTCTGACCCGCCCATCCATGCAGACCGCAGCAGTACTAATCGCCCATTCCAACCCTTTATTGGCAGGATTATTCAAGCACGGCTACAGGATCGACAGATTTTTCAGGACCAGTCAACACCGCGGGGTCACTACACCGCATGGAAGTTACTACCTAAAAGTCGGTACTAACCGAGTTTGGGTACCTTCCTACCGACCCTTACGCGAATTACTGACGCAAGAAGTACACGACTCCAACCTCTCCGGGCATTTCGGCGTCGACAAAACATTGAAGCTGCTGCAGCGGAACTACTACTGGCCCGACATGGCGTCGGACGTGCAGCGCTATGTGTCCGCCTGCCCGACCTGCCAGGCAATGAAGTCATCACGACAACGACCAGCTGGCTTACTGCAGCCCCTCGAGCCACCCGAACGACCGTGGCAACAGGTGACTATGGATTTTGTCACGGGCCTTCCAGCTGGCGCAAGTGGCAACGACTCCGTGCTCGTCGTCGTTGATCGCTTAACGAAAATGGCGCATTTCGCGCCTTGCCGTACAACGATCACAGCCGAAGAAACAGCGCGACTCTTCATCTCGACCGTCGTACGCCTCCACGGGTTACCTTCGGCGATCATCGGCGATCGAGATCCGAAATTCACGTCGAAATTTTGGCAGGAGACATGGGCACAGTACGACACCCGCCTGCAATTTTCGTCGTCCTACCACCCGCAAACCGACGGACAGACAGAGAGGACAAACCAAACGATGGAACAACTGATTCGCACGAACTGCCGGGACATCACCAAGTGGGAAGATTCCCTTCCCATGCTCGAGTTTGCGTATAATAACGCCCCGTCTGCAACGACCAAGCAATCACCCTTCTACCTGAATTACGGGATAGACCTGGTGGTACCCTCATCGACAACTCCCGACAACCCGGTACCCAGGTCACAACAGTTTATTTCGGAACTCCAGGACGCGCGTGCCAAAGCAGCCGATTTTATCCGAAAAGCGAATTCGACCACCAGCCGCTACGCTGACCAACATCGACGGAATTTACCCTTCCGCGAGGGGCAGATGGTTCTCCTGGACACCAAAAACCTCAGACTGCCCCAACCCGCAAAACTGCGTCCTCGATACGTGGGACCTTTCCGCATCATTCGAATGCTGACACCGGTCACTGCGAAACTCCTCCTCCCGGACGACTGGCATATCCACGACGCCTTCCACGTCAGTTTACTTCGCCACTACGTGGCACCCCAGTCCTCCGACGTCGCTTGACCCCACCAGGCGCCAAGTGTCCGACCGGTGGCGGATCCCACGCTCCAACCCTGGAAGATATTGAATCATCGCATTCGTGCGACCCCAGCCGGTCGCCACGTCGATTTTCTCCTACGATGGGTGGATCGCACAAGTGACGACGACACGTGGGTCCCGGCTGACTCACTACAAGGGCACTCGGTACTCCGGCAGTATCTTTCTCGCCGACACGTGCCTGATATTGACCACCTTTCTTGAAGGGGGGGGGGGTAGTGTAAGGAATTTTGCTAATTCCTTACTGAGGCACCGCTTACGCGTACATTTCCAACTTTCGGAGTTCAGGCTCGGTCCGATGACCTCGCCTCCCGAACGTCCTCCGCGTCGCCTTCGGGTTTTCCAAACCCAACCCTACACCCAACCCTCGCACGACTTTGCGACCTCGGGCTTAGCTAGACTTGCTATATTATGCCTAGGCCCCGATGTTTGCTCAGTAGTTGTAATCACTTCCGCGATATTGCATTCTGCGCACTCTTCTCTCATACAACTCATAACACATTCGCTTGACGAAGGTAAAGCTTGTTGCCAGCAAGTGAGCCAGCGAGGGTTTGATTTGGGACCGCGGTCCAGTTTGCAATTTAATCGTAGAATTTCGAATGCACATCGTGATCTGAAATGTGACTGGTTTTGCAAGATGGGAAACCGAGCACGTCATCCAGACTGTTTTCGAATCTTGATGCGGTTACCTTACAAAAAAGGGTTACTGTTCCCCAAACTGACCTGAGCTGTGATGAGTTGGACCCGCCCTTAGATTCATTTCACCCGTAACACGGTCCAACGGTACACTTCGAGTGTACACTTCACTGAGTCCGTGAAGTTGCGCTCGCACGCAGCCCGTCTGCGGTTAGGATTTCGCAGTGTGCTAAATCGTGCGGTTGTCGCAAGGGCGGGCAACTGACAAGTCATAAAACGTATTCCGACAGCTGGAATCTCTTATCATACGCCTATAAGCGTTTGAAGAGTCAGGAAGAAGCATTCGACGAGTGGGAATTTCCGACAGCTGGAGGTTTCGCGAACAGGCAGTGTCAACGGAGCAGCACTAAATGTTGTAGAACACTGTAGCTCCAGCCGGAACTAACCATCAACTGTTGACCGTAAATAGCCTTCCGTCCGAATTTGATCGTTAATAACTGACCGTCAGCTGCCGAATGTCACGCTACCAGGAACAGCTGACCCCCGATAAAATCGGGAATCACAAAGCCTCTGAATCCTTCGGGCGGTGTCCCTTTAAGCCCTTGCGTGACCCACGAGTCGCGTGTCAGTAGACGTTCGTGGTCTTTTTAGGCGAGTCAGGAGTTAACCACAGACCACTAAGCTGACTGTAGAGTCTCCTGAATTAGGACAAAAATGGCCGGCCTCGTTTGTCCTGTGTGTGAGGGGGTCAACCTGCCGTCGCTCTGCTGTGACTGCGTGGATCGCATGTAAGTGATAGAGTGCGGTGGGAAGGGGTGAGTAGAAGTGGTGATGGGAAAGGTCGAGTCGAATCGCAAAGAGCGTGGCAAGGTGTCGAAAGGAGGAGTGAAACGAGGAGCGAGATAAGGAAGAAGAGGGTCAAATTTTTGTTGTCTGAAGATATAGTATAATTCTTCTCGTGCTTCTGAAGATTTTATATCATTCTTCTAATGTGTCTATACTTAACTTCCAAAGATGTCATATCGGCATGGCAAGAGTGAGCGAGAGAGGGAGAGTAGATGAATCTTTTCTCCTCTATCCCTTCTCTTCGTCATCCATTCCCCTCCTATCAGCCAACACGAGCAACGGCAGCTACTGGATCGTCTCAGGTGCCACAGAGACCACCTAAAGAATCGCCTGACAGCAGTGCTGGAGAGGCAGGTGGGTTTCTGTTAGAAGGACGATAGAAGAAGGTGGATTAGAAATCGGAGTGGCTGAGGGAAACTTCTGGAAAGCCATAACCTCCACCATGCTGTTTAATTCAAACGTTCTTTTCCAAATTACGTTCTTCCTGTGTGTCAACGGTTGTGTGTGTCACTGTCAGGGTGGGAAGTATGAATGGGAAGGGCGGCGGAGGGAGGTGGAGGAGCGATGCGAGGTGCTGAGGAAAGCAAATTCGAGGAGACGAGCTCAAGTTCTGGAAGGTGAGAGAGGGGGAAGATGAGGGGAAGGGGAGGGGAGGGGGAGGGAAGGGAGAATCATTTTGTGGCGGAGGTGGAGGAGAGGTGCGAGTGGCTGAAAAGAGCAATTTCTAGGGAACGAGCTCAAGTTCTGGAAGGTGGAGGAGGGGGAGATTGGATGATCTACGTCCGATGTGAACGGCCCACCTACACTTCCTCTCTTCCATCCATCTACTCAATGCCTGACTCCATCTTCTGCTCGTGTGAGCTTGCAGCATCTAGGCCGTAGAATCACTTTGGGAATTCGCATAACCCATTTGTCCCACTTAAACCCTGACCTGACGGACCGAGCTTCATGCTGTCGGATCAGCTTTTTGATTCGACTCAAAAAGCGACTTAAAAACCCATCTGTCCCACTCAAACCCTGAAGTGACTGACTGAACTTGGTGCTGTCAGATCCAATGAGCTTGCAGCATCTTTCTTGGAGCCTTGATATGACAGTCAGAATCCTCAAAAGCCCATGTGTGCGTGAACTTGGACTGAAACCCTGGCTACCCAGATCAGATGACCTTGCTTGCAGCATCTCACTTGAAGCCTTCAAGTGGTATTGAGAATCTTCAAAAACCCATGTGTGTTCTAACTCTGAATGAACCCCCCTCGCTGCTCGCTGCCAGATGGCATGAGGTTGGAGCAGCTGCGCCTGCAGCTCAGCTCAAAGAAGTCGCTCCTCGCACATGCCAACGCCGTGGTGAGTAGCATGGATGTGATGGGTGGATGGTCGTTGCTGCTAGATAGGATGGGGTTGGAGCATCTTCGCCTGCAGCTCAGCTCAAAGAAGTCGCTCCTCGCACATGCCAACGCCGTGGTGAGTAGCATGGATGTGATGGGTGGATGGTCGTTGCTGCTAGATAGGATGGGGTTGGAGCATCTTCGCCTGCAGCTCAGCTCAAAGAAGTCGCTCCTCGCACATGCCAACGCCGTGGTGAGTAGGATGGGTGGATGGATGGGCGGTCGTTTCTGCTGCAGCAGAAGCTCTTTGGGAGTTCATTGAATCTTTTTCCAAGCGGGCGCACCTAGGCAGGGCAGGGTGGAGCAGCCTTAGGAGTGTCGATGGATGGCTCCTAAGGCTGTGGCAAATCCTTCATCCCCCCCTCGCCTCTTTCCTGTTCTTCACCACAGCTGGCCATGCGGAGAGCAGCATTGGCGCACGGAGGAGCAGCAAGGGCGGGTGGAGCAGCCTTAGGAGGAGTGTCGGTGGCAGCTCCTCTATTCCCCCCTCCCCTTTTTCCCTCCTCTACCACAGCTGGCCATGCGGAGAGCAGCATTGGCGCTCGGAGGAGCAGCAAGGGCGGGTGGAGCAGCCACGGGGGTGTCTGTTGCAAGTGGTAGCGTGGGAGTGGCACACGAAGCAGCAAGCACAGGCAGCATGGGTCCAATGGAGTTGGGAGGGGATCGGACCAACCTGCAAGCTCTAGGCAACTTACAGGCACGTACCACCACCATGGCTTTCAGAAGTGGAGAAGAAACATATATATTCTTGCAGTGGGAGGGAAGGGAGGAAAGGGATGGACGGGAGGGGAAGGAAGCGACGAGCAGGATGGAGCAGGGAGGGGATCGGACCAACGTGCATGCTCTGGGCAACTTACAGGCACGGACCACCATGGCTCGAATGTGGAGGAAAATACTTGAATTCTGTGTTCTGGATTTCGTGTTGAGCTTGTGTTTTAACAAGTGTGCTTTGGGTCAACTTAGAAGTCACCTTTTCTTTTTCACTCGTGCATGTGTGCAACTGTGCTGCGTGCATGAAGATTTATTTTGAGGCATCTCTAAATAAATCTTCATACACGTGTCAACTTAGAAGGCACCTTTTCTTTTTCACTCGTGCATGTGTGCAACTGTGCTGTGTCTGTATCTGTGTGTCTGTATCTGTGTGTCTGTCTGTGTTGTTCGTGTGTGCATGTGAGCAGAAGATAGTGCAGGGCGCACTGAGATCAGACCAACAGCTATGCCTCAAGAGGCTTCGAGACATTATTTATGTTCAGAGATAATTCATGTGTGTCTCTATGTGTGTGCATGTGTGCATGTGAGCAGAAGATAGTGCAAGGCGCACTCAGAGCAGACCAGCAGCTGTGCCTCAAGAGGCTTCGAGACATCTTCCCTTTCAAGAAGGTGCCCATCCATCTCTACCTTCCCGTTTCCTGCCATACCTTTCCCGTACCCTGCCATACCCTTCGCGTACCCTGCCATACCATTCCCTTACCCTGCCATACCCTTCCCGTACCCTGCCATACCCTTCCTGTACCCTGCCATACCTTTCCCGTACCCTGCCATACCCTTCCCGTACCCTGCTGTACCTTGCTTTACCTTGCCGTACCTTGCCGTACTCTGCCTTATCCTCTTTTCCGCCCTTGCTTCCACTCAAGCTTGGAGCATCTGTTTCCTTCCACTGGCCCATGGGTTTAGAATTGCGCTGGTTTCAATCAATGATTGGATGAATTAAACGGTTAAGGTCTTTTTCGTTCCAGGCGTAGTGTTCTAACGTATAGTAATCGGAAGTAATTGACATCCGTTCTCCGTTTGCCTCGACTTTTCTATTCAGAGTAATCGGCTTTATTATTTTCCTCGCTGTTTCCCAATCTAATTCAGGTGCCACTGCCGCCCAACTCATCACCAAACACCACATCATTCCCAACCCCTCCTCCTACCACCACCACCCCTGCCACCTCAGCTCTTCACATGCCATCCCCCTCCCCTCTCCTCTCCTCCTCCCCTCCTCCCGTCTCCTCCTCCCCTCCTCCCCGCTTCTCCTCCTCTCCTCCCCTCCCTGACCCCGGCGAGTTCACTCTCTCAATCTGCGGCCTCCGCCTCCCCTCCTCCGATGCCCACATCCCGCTCATCCCCGCTTTAGAGCTCGCTGCTGCTATCGGGTGAGTGAGATTGTTCCCCCCTTCCTGCCATCCCCCTCCTTCTTTCGATTTTCTGACCCCCCAAGTCCACTCTTTCAATTGCCTCCCCTCCTCTGACGCCCACATCCCACTCATCCCTCCCTTAGAGCTCGCTGCTGCTATCGGGTGAGTTTGCCATTGCATAATTCGAGTCATCTCCGCTCCCCCCCGTCCCTCCTTCGTCCTTCCTTGCCTCTCCTCCTCGTCTCCCCTCTGCTGATTCTTACGTCCCCCTTAGGAGCTCGCTGTTTTTTTAGGTGAAGTCTCATTTTCTCCCACTAGTTAGTTAACCACCCCATTTCACCACTCCAGCTGCCTGGTTCGTCCTTTGAACCTGCTTTTTGCATCTGAGTCCCCCTAGATATTTTGATTCTAACTCCGATCCTTCTACCCCACCCCAACCCACCCCACCCCTCCCCATCCTTCCCCACCCCACTCCACCAATCCAGCTGCTTGATTTGTCTCTTGGCCCTGCTTTCTTTTCTTAGCCAGTTCAAATTGACTCCCGTCCCCTCACGCCACCCCACCCCACCTCACCCCACTCCACCACTCCAGCTGCTTGATTCGACTCCTGGAACTGCTTTCCAAGTACCTCTCCTTCCCTCTCCTGCACATCGCTGCCTTTGCTGTAAGTTGTCTCTGAAATGCGTCAATCCGCGTTGACTTCTGTTGTCTTGTGCTGATACTCATGAGCCTGTTCTCCAAGTATCTCGCCTTCCCTGTCCTTTGCTGTGAGTGCCTTTACTCTCATTAACTTGACCTGAGCTGACTTGCGTTGACTTGTGTTGACTGGCATTGACCTGCTCTCCACGTACGTATCTCTTCTTCCCTCTTCAACGTGTCGCACCAACACTCTTTCTGGACGGACCCTCAATCCTCCTTCCTCCCTCCATTCTTTGGTCTGCATTGTCTTGCATTTGTTTGCGTTGACTTGTGTTGACTTGTGTTGTCTTGTATTGACTTGTGTAAGACTTGTGTTGACTTTGCCCCTCCTCCCTCCAGGCATCATCATCCAAGGTGTGGCACCGACAGTCCTACTGGTCACTTGCTCCTCCAACCAACCCCAGGTGACTACCCAACGGAAATTTTTTAATTAAAAAAAAAAAAAAAACATTAATTTACACGTACCAGTTATGTAACTGATGCTCCCTTCTGTGATTTTTGTTTTGCAGGGATGTAATTTCCTTCTCGCTCACACCATCTCACTCACACTCGCAATCTCCCTCCTCCCTTGACTCTTCCTCCCACTCCCCCTCCCCCCCCTCCCTTCTCATCCAACCTCCCCTCCTCTCCCTCTGCCTCCACACACTCCTCTGCCTCCACCCTTCCTGGAAGCTTCCTCTCTTCCTCTTTCGCCTGCAACTCTCTCTTTGGCTCATGGGCTGGGATACCGCCTTCCCCACTACAAGACGAAGCAGGCAACCCGATATATTTCTCCCATGCCTCGTCAGCGAATCAGCAGCTGCCACCTGGCGAGATCAAGCAGGTTCGGCGAGGTTTGCGGTTGCTTCGGAGAAGTGCTGCCTGCCTTGCCGCCACCCACGCTGGCAGGTTCGGAATCGCCAGGCCTGGAGATGAGGTTCGGGGAGGAGGTGGTGCTGAGCTGGACGAATTTGCTGAGCTGGCAATGATGATGTCAGCCGCCATGCGGGACACACGGTTACCCTTCCTGCGGTAAGCTGAGTTTTACTTGCTCACGGATTCAAACTGTCCAAAGTTCCCCTTTTCCGTCCTCCTCTCACATTCCCCCTCTCTCGTCCCTTCCTCCCTTCCCTCTCTTCCCCTCCCCCTCCTTTCTTTTCCTGCAACAACTTGGCATGCAACTCATCGTTTCCCCCCCTTTTTTTTTCTCCACTGCAATCCACCACGATACTCGAAAGCCTCCCCAGCTTTTCTCCCAACAACCCGTTCCCGTTCTCCCTTTCCTTTCTCTCTTCCCCTTTTCCTCCCTCACTTTGCCTGCCTTGCAGCAATCAGGCATGTGACTCGTCGTTCCCGTTCTTTCCTCCCCTTCTTCCCCCCTAATTCCACCACTACTCAGCCTCCCCACCTCAAACCACTCCATCCAGCTCTCTCACGCCATTACCCCCCCGATCCCCTTCCCGTTCCCCCCTCCAGCAAGCACTTCCTTTCCTTGCAGCAGCCACAACTGTGAATCGTCATTCTTTTTCTTTCCTGCAACGTCCACCACTACTCAGCCTCCCCACCTCAAACCACTCCATCCAGCTCTCTCTCTCACCTCAGTATCCCCACGTTCCCCTTCCCTGCTCCATCCCTTCCTGATCTCCCCTCCCGCACTTCTCTGTCCTTGCAGCAACCAGGCATGTGACTCGTCATTCCTGTTCTCCCCCCCAACGTCCACCACTACTCAGCCTCCCCACCTAAAACCGCACCATCCGGCACTTCCCCCCTTCGCTGCTGCTTCTTCTCCCACCGCTGCTGCCGAAGGGGGAGCAGGGGAGGGGTTGCAAGTGCTCCACGAGAACCTTCTTGGAAACTCCCTTGTTGAGGACTATATTAGCACAAAAGCAGCAGGCCTGGTGAGTGAAGGGAGATGAGGAAAGATGAATATGACCGCTTACTCATTCTGCATATAACCGCTTTAGGTATGTATTGAAATCTCCCCCTCTCTCCCGTATTAAACCCCACACTCCGCCCCACCCTCTCTCCCGCCCTCCCGCTCCCTCCCCTATCCTAAGCTGCCTAAGCCCTGTAGAGTCATCTTCGATACAAGCACAAGCGCGTTTCCTCCCCACTCAACCTTCCACTCCTCCCTCTTGCCCCCTCTTTCCCCGTCCAAGCAGCACGGTCGCAGAATACCCTGTAAAGTCATCTCCGATATAAGCACAAGCGCCGCTCTTCCCCACGCCCATCATGCCACTATCAGCCACGGCCCCAACACACATCCAAACTCCACCGTATCGAATCATAAAGGCAGGGCAGGATCGGACATGCCAGCCCAACTGGTCTCTGAATTCGGTGCGAATGGGTTGAATCTCAAGCAGGGACTGTTAGGATCGAGAGGGAAGGGGCACGGGGAATGGATGGGGTTTAAGCGGGAGGGAGGGCGTGGAGTAGGGAGGGAGGGGGGAGAGGGGAAGGGGGAGGTGGGAGGGGAGGAGTGGGCAGTGGTTGATGCGGTTCAGTTGCCACCTCCCCCGAGTGATGCCGAGGATGTGGAGCACTGGGCCCGAGCGATGATTGTTGATGCGAGGCAGTGATGTGGGGTCTAGTTTTGAGGCGCCTCAGAACTAACATTGGGCTCGAGCGATGATTGCTGATGTGAGGCGGTGATGTGGAGTCTAGTTTTGAGGCGCCTCAGAACTAGCATTGGGCTCGAGCGATAATTGTTGATGCGAGGCGGTGATGTGGGAGACAAGGGGTTAAGGGTAGCTGAGCTGAAGGGGGGAGCTCATCACGTCAGCACTTCAGCCCCATTAAGGGGCAGTGGTAGATGCAGGTCATTTGCCACCTCCCCTATATGACGCTGAGGGTGTGGTGTGGAGCACAGGGCTCGAGCAATGGTTGTTGATGCGAGGAGGTGGTGTGGAGGGGGAAGTGGGGGAGGCGATAAGGAAGCAGGAGGCGGAGTGAGAACAGGAGATAAAGGTACACCAGGACGAAAAGGACAACATTGTACATAGCGTATGTCTGTTAGTCAGTCATGTTTCATAGCTCTACGATATCTGTTCTACAGTTGTAGATGGTTCCCTCCCTGCCTGCCTATCCAGTCATTTTACATTATCGTACTGCAAATATATCATTTGACAAAAATCTCCAAGGGCCTAGCATGAAAGGATTTTAGTAATACTTTCTAATGAACATATTGTGTGGGGTAAATGTGTTAATAGCGCAAATATACTAAGTACATAGGCTTAATCCTTGATTTCTACCGCTAACCGGAAATTACGCTCCAAATACCCTGAAGTTTTGCAGCGATATCCCCCATTTTAGGCCGTCTCACTAGGTTGGGGTCAGTGGCAAAGCGAGCCAGAATAATCATTGTAAGAACATGCACCTTATTCCACTCCCCCTCAATGGCCGGGTCAGTAACCAACGAAGGGTCGTTGACCACCTTATTCCAATCCCCGTGGCTGACCACCTCTTTCAGCTCTTCAAACCTTTTGTCCATGGGGTCATAGCCGAATATCAGCTCTAAAAGGAACACACCAAACGAATATATGTCAGTTGTCTGGCGTCCTTGGCCTGTATGAAAATAGGTTGGGTCAGTGTAGCCCGGCGTGCCTATCACTGCTGATGGCATTCGTATATCCCATTCCTCGACATCCACGCCGGCCACCACCGGAGTGAGATCCTGCGAGTCATCGAAATGAACATAGACAGAATTGTGATAGGCTATATGTATACAATGTATTTTTAAGACTTCTCACAAAAACATTGTTTACACGTGGCAACCACTGGAGTGAGATCCTGCGAGTCATGAAAATGAACATAGATAGAATTGTGATAGGTTATGCTAAGAAAAGAATGGGACATAGAAACGAACATAGACAAAGTTGTGATAGGTTATGAAGAATGGGACATGGGGATAGTGGTGAGACACACAGTACGGTGGTGCAAATAATAGCGTGTAATAATAACTCTCAAGCAAACCAATAGAGCACATACGCACACTTGCTCATTTAAACTTTACACGTACTTGTCGCAGAAGCACCCTTGAAGGGTTGAAATCGCCGTGAATGAAGCCCTTTTCGTGAATTTCAGCTAGCGCCTCGGCACACCCCAGTGCAACCTTCACTCTATACTTCCAGGGTAACCAATCCTCGTTTCTGCGGACTGAATGAGGGAAGATGAGGGGGTAGAGTGGGGGGGGGGAGGTGGTGGAAAGGGGGACACGGGGGGGAGAAGGTTAGTGAGTGAAGGAGAGGGGTTTGAAAGAGGGTAGGAGCAAAAACAAAAGGACCTTACTACACCTCGAGACAAGATGGCGGAGAATCAATGGTGACAGCAGCTGACGTGTGACAGCTGTGTGACAGCTGTGTGACAGATGTGTGACAGCTGTGTGATAGCTGAGTGATAGCTGTGTGATAGCTGTGTGATAGCTGTGTGATAGCTGTGTGATAGCTGTGTGATAGCTGTTACGGATCGTCATGACAGCTAATTGTGCAGCAACAGGAGAGAAAAATTGTGAGGTAGTAGAGCAAAGTGGGTAGAGGGGGGCAGGGAGGGAGGCGTGACGAGAAGGGTAAGGAGTGGAGATTTCTCTCACCTCGCATGAGATAAGCCTCGAGGTCGCCTAAATTGATCAGCTCATACACGAAAAGCAGCCTCTTTTCCGCGTTGAGCGCCACGCCTTCCAACCTCAGCACGTTGGGATGATTCATTGCTGAGCTGGCTTGCACCTCAGCCTGAAAAGCACGGAAACAAGTACGCACGGAGTATAAGAATGGATGAATTGCCCGAAACGATTTCCGAAATCTGTATAAACTTCTTCTTGTTTTGGCAACTTCAAGTTGTTGTGTTGAGCACTTACTCTGAATCTTTCAATCTCCCCAGGCGTACGGCTTCCTTTCATCACTTTCACTGCCACCTCGTGATACACCGTCTCTGAGTCTCCAGCGTAGTAACCAGCGACATCAGCGCTATTTCCGCCGTCACTGGCGCTGCTTCCGCCGACAGGCAGCACCATCCGCCCGCGGTACACCTTTGCGAACTCCCCTTCCCCCACGCAGTCCGAAAATCCCCCCGTCGCCGCTTCCAGCTCCGCGAAGGTGAACTCACGAAGCGGAAGGGATGCGGCCATCCGGCTGAAGTTCGGCCTGTTGAGCGAAAAGCGGTGCCTGTAGGGGAGGTAGGGGGAACGGAGGAGCGGGAGCGGGAAAATCAGCTAGCTGAGGTTAAACGACTTGTCCGTTTCAAAGTGTTCACGAACGAATGATCAGAATTCTATGGCGCCGCGTTCGGACAGAACAGTAACGATGGTTAAATGCTCGGTCGGCAATAGGTTGAATCACCTCGATATTATCTAATGATGATCCAGCTATGCCGGGAAAAGCAGCTGCGGACTCCAAGCGAGTTTTAACCGCACGCAGCTTGCGGGCTGTGAAAAATCGCTTGCGACAACCGCGGCGATTGAGATTTTAACGGTGATTGTAGCGAGTTGAACGCGTAAACAGACTCTTACTCTCTTACTGGTACTATACTGCATCGCAAAAATCTTGAGCCTGTTGTAAATGCTCTAGTCTACTGAGGCTCTTTTGCCGATGGTTTCCGAGCGTAATACAGGCGGTGTTCGCCAGCACCAATGAAGCAAAAAAACATGGGATAGGGACAGGATCAGGAAGGTGGGTCTCTCCTTCCTGATCCCGTCCGTTAGTGTTCTTTAACCTTCGTCAGCCTGGTCAGCCCGTAAAAAAGCTGCCGAGCCTCCCCAACCGTCCAAACCAACAATCAAAGGGGGTGTCTGGCGAACACCCCCATTTCTCCCCGTAAAAGAACTTCATCACGGCATTTGGAAGCGGGGACGCAACTTCGTCCCCAGGCAAAGTTCCATCCCCTGGCCTGCCATCGCCATCCCTCGTTTTTCGAAGCACTGAGATGGCACAGCCATCGCATTGTCGTTCATAGGGGAACCTATGAACAAGCTTGTTGTTTGACTAAGGGGGGTTCAAACACCCCCTATTTTTCCCAACCCTAACACACCTCCGATGTGCCCCTTGCGCGGGACTTGGTCGAAATCGCAAGCTACTCCGTAAGCCTCTCCTCCTCACAGTCGTGACAGTCTTAAGATTTATTTGCCAGTCTTAGACAACCAGCGCTCCGCCATGAACTGACCAAACTTACTTGCGAGTCTGCAGGAATGGACTGCTCGGGAGGAAAGCCTCTCCCGGCAACGTGAGAGCCAAACGACTGCGCGAACCGCCGTTCCTGCTAGCACCGCGCCACTTGCACCCCCGGTAGCATTCTAGGGAAGAAACGGGCCTTCCATGCCCGAACGCGCCACTACTGCTCCCGTGCAGGCAGGAGCTGCGAACCCGTCTGCCGTGACCGATTTTCCACTCCCCTCTTATTCGGAAGTTGATGACAGTAACAACGTTGGGGAAAGTGAGACCATAAAGACGGGCCGCCATCCGTGGAACGACGACCTCACTTACGATCTACTCAACATAGTCATTGAGACTCAACGCGATAATG